TATACATAAACATCAAAGACGTGGCGGGCGAGAATTTGAGGGTGCCCTTGGGCCGACTTGGCACGGTAAGGGGGCCGTAAGGAGATCACGGCCCTCCTGGCGGACCCCGCCGTGACACTCCCTTTGGGCCACTGAGACAGAATCCAAAGACCAGACTGAGTCCAGATGTTTGGTGCCTCCATGGCTGTAGTCGTACAAGTGTCTGAAAATCAAACCCAGGTCTCCTGTGTGGTAGAGAAGGAGTCTACCACTGAACCACAGGGGACTGCATGCAACTCAAGTAAGTAATAAATAATGTAGAGGGTTAAAGTTACCTGGCTTTCATCCTTGTGCCTTAAACCAACTGAAAATATAACATCTATCCTGCTATGAACAGGTGAAAAATTTTATTACTAGAGAGTGTCTGACTTTCTAAAGAGGACAGCCCAACTAATGTTCTGCTGTCACAATATGGTAACAATGTTCAATGGCAACTTCTGCAAGTGCCTATAAGCAGGTTTCTAATGATTTGGGTTAGGTGACTGGTTGTTCTGGAATAGGGTCTGATGATTTAGCAAAAAGAAACTCTTACTATATTTTAATGTAAAGTTTAAATTCAAACAAGGTTTGTCTGAATTTAAAAGCAATTCATTCTGTTTGCACAGAGCAAGTTTTTGCTACTTCATTCCACTTATTCAAAACTTGCTATACTAACTTCAGTACTTTAAAAAAGGAAAAAGAAAACCCCAAACACCTCTTTTATAGCTGATTTTCTGTACAGTAAGTAAGATCAATAGCTGCCCCACAATCACTACAAATGCAAAGTTTCTAGGGTGAACTGCACAGCATATTTTTAAAGGCATTTCTTCTTAACCTTTCCAAAAATCTTAATTTTAGAAGCAGCCACCTGTCTACCAAGAAAAGCTCAATAAAAATCCTGTTGTGTAGCATCTATAAATAAGAAGATACTAATATAAAAGTTCTGGGAAGTGGGGGAGTTAAAGGAGAGAAAATAAGCTGCTTTTCATGCATGAAAAATGTTCCAATAACTTTCTGATTCTCCAAATGTTAAGGGCAAACTAGGTGGCACATGAGGTTGGCACAGTTAAAGACCAGTAGTTTCTCTAGCCAACGGCACACAAGAAAATGGTTAGCATCATGTCCAGCTTTCTTTAGTTCCCCAGCCAAAGTGACCAGATGACCATTTACAGCTGGACTGACTGTCTTCAGCAAAAGTCCAGAGCTAGGTTCAAACTTAGGCTTCTGAATGCCATAGCACAGGGGCAGGCTGTTTAAAGCAACTTGCTCCCATCTTTCACAATGATAACCTTATCTATGATGTCTACAAAGAACCACCTGCAAACAATGGCTAAGCAAGCAGCAAACCAAGATCTCTGCTTTATACATTCCAACCTGCTTAGTTCACAGCGACCTTATCTCCCCAGCACCACCTGTGACAAGCCGCAGTGTGTAGGCAAAACTTCCAACTCTTGGAACAGGATCTGTTTTTTCATTCATATCAGACTATCATGAGGTGTACATTTGGAAAAAGGCAATGGCTGATCCCTAATCCACTAAACACTACTCAAATACAAACTAACAGAAGCAGCAAAATTAAGCTATTCAAAAATGTGCACTATCTGGTTAGACAGAAGAAAATGAAACCTTTCATTTCTTTCAATGATACTACCTAAATTCTTGAAGATTTTTTATATTATACACACACACAATGTATATACACATGTGTACATACACACACCATTGTTTTTTAAAAGTTAATCTTTCATTATATTATATACGAAGATATGCTTGGATCTACTCAACAGGAAGACAGCTCTTCTATCAAATATTTAACAGAAGAACCACGGAAAGTTAACTGCTGTTCAAGTTTTCCTTAAATAAATAAAGAAGTCACTGTTACGCAAAGTTGTTCTACAAAAGTCATTTTCTTAGAAGTACTCACCACTAAGTCCCAGTTATTTTGTTCAAGCAATGTAATGGCTTCATCAATATTTTCAATACCGGTACATGCCTTAAGGAGAAAAAAAGGAAAACATAGTAAACACAGGAGAAAAAGAGAAAAAGATAGTAATTTAAGAACAGAATTCAGAATAATATTAACGCTTTAAAATGTAATTAAGTTGGGTAGAAGTACACATAAGATACACATCCTTCATACTCATGGAGAGATAAAAGACAGTTCTACAGCAGCATGTGTATTAACAAAATTAAAATTAGTAAGGGGAGGCTGAAATCTAACTGGACTTTGAATGGAAAAGATTACATACAGGCACTAGCCTGGCTAAATCAGTATTTTTAAGTTTAATCAATCAAAAATACATGACGTCTCTAAAAAGTAATTGGAAAGAGTAAGAGATTTTGAATGCTATTCTCTACTGTCATTGCTTCTTCAGCAAAAACTGCTGGATGCTCAGTCTTGAAAAATAAAGCTACTTAAGCAGGAAACTACCTTTAGCCTCCCCCAATCTCATACACACCTTAAAAAAAAAAAAAAAAAAAAAAAAACATGGCCTGCCACCCTTTCTGGATGCTTTAAATATGCCCGAATGAGTCTGCAAGAGAACTTTAGCTGACATGCACTTTAAGGCGGTGGTTCCCAATCTTTTGTGAGCCATGACCCCTCTTCTGTGTTCACAAAAAATACAAACTTCTGGTCCGTTCATGGCCATGTGTGACCCATATCTGGTTCAAATTTATCTGCAGTAACAGACTTTTTGCACTAGTGTCAAAGTCAAGCCAAAGCATCATTTGTCAAAATACATATGATCTAAATCTGTAGAAGGACGTTCTTAGTAACACTATCACAGAGATCAGATATTTGTTTGCTTATCTTTTGTCACTGACATTACAGCAATGCTTGTGCATAGCCACAATTAGGACAACATTTTAGTAAAACAAAATATTTTGATTGGTTTAAGACATTCAACATTCCTCAATCAAACCATACCACTTAGAAGCGTCTCTGTAAATTCCTGGGTCTATTACAGAGCTCTAAAATAAACCTGAGTACCCAAACAGTGATTAAATACAATATGTGCACTATGAAACCAGTGGAAATCATCAAGATACTTTATAGGAGTGCCAAGTACTAATAATTATTTACAATGAATATTTGACTGCAACTGGTTTCTCATTACCTTATTTCTCATTACTGCCAAACTCCACTAAAAAGTGCAACCTACTCTTAAGAGACCCTGCAAGAGTTATGTTCTAGGATTCTGTTTGAGGTCTTGAAATTCAAATTCAATCACAAAATAAAAATGTTCTTTGTAGGGCTGTCAATTAATCATTGTTAACGCACACAATTAATGCGTTAATTGTTCGTGTTAAAAAAAAAAATGAACGCATTAAATTGTACACATGGTTCTGGAACCTGAGCCTGGGCTCTGCTCTACTGTCATCACCACCACCTCTGGGCCACCCTGCAGTGCAGCAGCACCAGCACAGAGGACCACAGGGCAGCCCAGGTAAGGGTTCCAGGAGGCTGCAGCGCAGTGGTGGAAGAGGCACGCAACAGATGCAGACGAGCAGCCACAGCCTGCAGGCACCCAGGAATGCAGCCCAGCAGCATGTGGAGCAGCGCCCAGCAGCCAAGTCTGTGAAGGGGCATGGGGGAGGAAATGGGGGGGGGGGTACAGATTGAGGCCCCCCACAGTGAGGGAGCAAGTGGGGCTGGAGCAAGTTGTAGGATGGAGCTGCAGGCGGCTCATCCAGGGGCATGGGGCGGGCCACTCCTGCTGCTGTGCACACCCTGGGGAGGTATGGTGGGGGCATGTGCGCCCCCCCCCCCCACCATGTTGTACCTCCTGGTGCTGGGCAGGCAGGGGATATGGCACAGCCAATGCACAGCTCCTGGGCCAAAGGCAGCAGAGCACAGAGCCCCAGCCCGCAGCAGCAGGCTGCCTCTGCCCCATGCACAAATCCAAGGAACATATGCCCCCCATGGCATCCCTGGGCTGCACACAGAGGTGGGAGCAGCCTCCCCCGTGCCTCTGAACGAGCTGCCCACAGCTCTGTCCCATGACTCACCCCGGCCCCGGGGCCTCATTCATCCCAGCCCCACTCCCTCCCTCACCATGGGGGCTTCAATCTGCCCCCTCTGTCCCTTCTTCCCACACACTTACCTGCTGGGCAGTGTCTCTGTCTGCCCCTTACTCCCAAGCCATAGCCCTCCAGCCCTGCTGCTGCCCCTCACTCCTAACCCACAGTACCCCACATCCACAGAACCCCCCTCCCCTGGCTCCAAACCACACACACACACACACACACACACACCTCCCCACCCCTTCACAAAGTACTCCCCCACACACCCACCCCCCAACCATACAAAGTACCTGCACAATTCTGCATAACTTTTGAGTTTTTCAGCACATAATTTTGAAGTTAACTGTGTGATTAAAATTTGACAATCAGCTGACTGTCAGTCCCAACAGCAGCTGAGCGTCAGGTCCTCCTCATGCAGGGCTGCAGCACCTGACTTTCAACTTAACAGTGCGTGGAGCAGGGGGGAAGCCCAGGATAACCCCAGAGTCCCCCTGCACTAGGAAGTAGTAAGGAGCAATTGGGATCTGATCCCTGATCCCAAAAGCCAGCCTCCTGCTATGTATACATGGCATGGCAGGAGGCACAATTCTTGGGATCAAGGATCAGAGCTCATTGTGCCATTAAATGAACATGCACCAGGGACCCCAGTAACATAACTAAGTCATTCTGTACCTGCTTTGACCTTGACCACCACCTGTTTCAGTGCAACTCCTGTCTACTGCAACGGTCAGAACGGGCATCCTCCATGCCTCAACACTAAAGCAACTTGGGGGATCAGAAACAACCCCTTGAGAGCAATTGGAATTGAATAGAAGTTAGTGCATTATGCAGTTCACTAACATGACATGTTCTTTTCCCTCTCCCTGTTTGAGGTAGTTAGAAGTCTGCTTACTTGTGATTAACCAATTATAGTTTTGCAACCCAACCTGAACATTATGAAAATACAAATAATACAACTAGATCCACATTCAAGAAGGAAAAAAAGGCTTCATTTTCTGCTCAACTGAAAACTGTAATGAGGCCTTTGTGGCTACAGCAGCTACCTAGCTACCCAGAGCAGCAATGAATCCAACAGACACCCCTGATAGAGGGTGTGGTCATAACCACTGACAATTGCTCAGTATATTTTTTTCCCCCTCTCCCTAATAATACCAGGTCTGACCGCTAAAAGTAGACATGGTTACAAATATTAGTAAAGAGCAGATGTTGCTGAATTCTGCTCACTGTTCTGTTCAATCATGTAGGAAGGCTAGACTGCTGTTGTAGCCATGGTGATCCAGGAAATATGGGAGAGCACCATGCCCATCAAGAGCTTAGAGCTCAAGTACCTGTAGTTCATTATTAACTACACCAAAGAGCCACACACAGGCTGGCAAAATTCCCCATACAAAAGGGGCTGAAACATTCACAACTGCTCCTACTAACGAAGTGGGATTTGGTATATATTTTTCATATACCTTTCCATGAACACTTTTCCATCCAAAACACTTACGTCTACTGCTCTGAACATTTCTTCAGTGTCGGTATTGTCACTGCAAAGTATGAACCTGTCTCACTTTTTTTTTAGGTTTTTTGTGACCAGTTGTCTCTCTCAAGTACACAGTTAGCAATCCACTGGCCATGTCCCTAGCCAGCTCTCCCTCCCTCCACCCCGATTTGCACAAGCGAACTGAAAATCCACATCATTCTTTGTTGCTTAAGGTCATGGATATATTAACAGTGTGCGACCCAATTTACCTCTCTCACCATGGGCTAAGCTACTGAAGCTTAGCTTCCATTTGCTGCAAGGCAAAAACATGCATACAAGCAGCTAAGACAGTGCCTGTCCCTTTTACCATGTAGTTAATGGTTTGTATGTTCATATGATAAAGTAACTTCATGTGTAAACTTCCATTTTTTCCTTTTTCCTCAACCAGGTTGAATCACTTTTGGCTGACTGAAAAAATGATGGGATGCAAGTGTGCAAGTAATATACTGCCTTTCAAGGCCTGTGAAACATAGATATGTTCCTGTTTCTTTGTACACCCTAACTTTATAAAAGGTTACAATACTGGTGCATTATTAAATAGATGCATTCATGGCCAAAGTTATGGGGAACAGAAATACTGCCTTAACAGATCAGAAGTCTAGGGACATTAAAGCAAATTGATTTGAATCCCAAACAACAGACTTAGGTTCTTCTCATCTCCAGTAGGGCTGGCACTCTTGTTAGCTTTAAAACCCATACAGATGACTGGAAACAATATCTACTGCTTCCAGATATTACTGGACTACTTTTTCTCATATCATAAACCAGATGTTTTTCCAGAATCATGCATAAGCGATGGCTCTTTCTGTTGCTATAGTGAGGTCCCCCTTCATACAGGTCTCACCAAGGAGTTGACAAGTGAGCAGGTGCTCCATAGTCTGCACTTCACCACACACACATATATTCGTGTCATTAGAATAGCCCCATTTGATCTCATTTCTGATCTTCCAGTTTGTGTGCGCAGGCAATTCAGGCATTGCCATGTTGGCCAGCCTAGATCAGCCCCTCTGGAAAGGTCCTCCTGCGGTTTCAGGTTCATTCCAGAGCCTCAGTTGCACCCAGCCATTGTGTCCAATGGGGCAGCACAAAACTCTTTTGCATTTTAAACCATTTAGTTACTTCTGTGTGACCATAGAGTGGGTGCCTGGATCCATCTGTCATGATTTCTTTTTGGACTGCTAATCATACTTTGTAATAGCTTGTTGACAGATTTCCCTCTAAGTTCTGGAAGGTTCAAAACTACAGCCGATTCAAACCCATTCCCTATGCCAAAGGAAAAGTACATGTTATATACTCAGGTATCCTCTGTTGACGGTGGTTAGAGACACAAATGGCAATCCTTTATGCCTAGTTCCTAGCAAAATACCGAACTGGTCTCCACTTCTTTTGTCCATGTCATCTTCATTGCACAAGTGAGCACCAAGGAGAATAACCCCCAGAAAAACAGGGTCAGAAGGTGAATGGTTCTACTTTACCTCTAGGACTCAAGCACATGTGCAATGCTAAAATCTGGAAACAACTCAAATGATAAGAAATTAATAACTGTGGTGTTGACATTCTTGGTATGAATGACCAGAGACAACCAGGGGCAGACTGTATCAAACGGAACCAGAAAATCATGACCTACTCGAATACCCAGCTCAATGGAGAGGAGCTGCCCTGATAAGATTAAGTGGCACAGCACAAAAAGCCATACAAGATTAGGAGCTGGTAACAGCTGAGTAAGTGCAAGCTTCCAAATATTAAGCATGAAGATAGCAATCATTCAGTGCTTCACCCCTACACATAAGTGCAATAAATGAGTGCAAGGTATGCTTCATCCCTACAAATGAGTGCAGTGAAAATGTCAGTATGCATGACAGAAGCTCATTACTGAATCCCATTTGCAATCTAATCACTGCTTTCTGTTTAGAAGCTCCGCTTCCTGCAGTCCCTTCACAGCATCTGATGAAGTAAGCTGCTGGTTACGAAAGCTTATGCGATGTCTCTGATTTAGTGGTCTATAAGACGCAAATCTATCCTGCCTTCTTTCTGAGTTGACACTAACACAGCTAACTACCTCTCTTCCCTCACTGTGTCACTACTTGCCGTAAATCA